GCATAGTTTATCAACAACTGGTCAAAGCTATTTTTTTGAAAAAACAAAAAATTAGTTCTATAAAATATAAACTTAAGTTTATATCATGAGATTAATAAAAAAACTATATAATACATCTGAAATTACTCAAAGCCATAAATGTCCAAAACCTACCACTATCCTCTTTAAGTGTAAAACACATATTAATTTCATAAATAATTAACGTATGAAATAACATTAAATCAAAATTCAAGAACATACATTCATCGGGAACAACTTGAACATTATTTTCATGACCAGTTACTTCAAATGATATGTTTGCTAACCATAAAATTGCAGCAACCAATTTAAAGACACATTTTTTTATCTTCATGAGAAATTTGAAGGGCATCCATGGCTTCCTGATACAACATATAATATCTATGTTAAAAATAAGCATAAATAAATTTATACTTTCACCAAATAATAATATTAATCAAATACTCCACATAATCCTTCTTATGGTGTAGTCACAATACAAAATGTTAGCATAATGGATATGATAATGTAACACCTGGTTCCGAATTGCTTCGTTGCTGGGAGCTGTGGCCCAGTCATCAGTTCACATGGGGGTTAGGAGCTTTGGGCAAGGAAGGATTTAGCCTATATCGGATGTAGTTGCCAGGGTCTAAGTGAACCATGTATTCGATTATGTCTTCGGAAGCCAAGGGTATGACTGTAAATTGATATCTCGGTCTTTTAATGGTTTTGGGTTTTAATCGAAAGGCTTTAAGGCTCGGGTGTATTGCTAGGAGCGTAGGGCTTCTCGCCACCTTTTCGTGGATATTAGGTTTGTTGGAAACGAACTTAGGACGAGTGAGTTATGACACTTTGAAGGTTTTGGCAGATTTAGCCCCTCACGGAAAGATGTGGTGGATCAGTCCCATGCATGCAAGGATTTGCATGCGCGTGTTTAGATGGTACGCCCAGCGTATAAGAGTAAATGATTGCGGGTGGTTCATGAGTACGCCGGGCATACAAAGAGGTACGGCGGGCGTACTCCTTCCAGACCAAAACCATAATTTCCCCAACTTGTACCCTATATAAGCAACATTATACCACTCCTTAGGTCATTTCAAGTCAGCCACCACCCCTTTTCACGTCCACGAAGCCCTAGATTGCCTTGGATGGAGCTTGGAGCTTAAAACAAGACTTGTTAGTGTGTGTACAAGAAGAGGAAGGTGGTGTTCAAGTGTTGATCATGGAAGGGAGCTTGTAGATCCAGAAAGTTCTCATATTTTGCAACCCATTGGAGGTAAAAAGCTCTGATCTTGACCTTCCATTTCATAGATCCTCTTTTGGGTTGGTTTTTGGCCATTTTTAGCCTTTTGCTTGGTCTTGGTGAGCTAGGGCCGTTCTAGGGACTCAAACTTGTAGATCTGGACATTCTAAGGCACCCTCTCTCATAAAGGTGCAAGCTTTGTGAAGTGTTTGAGTCCAAGCATGAGTTAAGACCATCCATTAAGCTCTTTTGAGATCTAGAGTCCCATTAAGCCATGCATGTTAGTAAAGTTGCCAGCTTTACTTGAAAAGTTGCCTATAGAAGTCAGACTAGAGAGTTGGAGAAAGGGCTGAAGTGATTAAGTGCTTATTTTGGAGAGGGTTGGACCTCAGAGGAGTACGCTGGGCGTACCCACCTGGTACGCGGCACGTACTAGCCCCAACAGGTGTACGCTTAGCGTACCAGATGAGTACGCAGCGCGTACTCGGTCTGGTTGCATCACTTTGTTTTGTTGACTTTTGGGCCTTGGACCATGGACCAGGAGTTGGTTAGGGTAGCCCATTTTGTAATTCATGCCTTTTTGGAGATTGGGCCTTCTTGGGTTAGGTCCAAGATATATTTGGGCCTTGTGGGCCATTTCGGGTTTGGGCTATTATTTGGGTTGCAGATTGTTGGACTAGCTAACGATGTATGTTTGGATTGGAAATAAGTTATTGGGCTTAGGGTGAGGTCCATGTAAAGGTTTGGGCCCAATTTGAAAAATTGGGCCATTAGTGGGCCTTTATGGATTTTAGAGTTTTGGGCTTGATTGGTTTTAGACTTGGGCCTTAGTTATGTATCTTGTTAGGCCAGGGGTAAAATGGTTATTTTACCCCAAGTATGAATTATGGATCATGGTATAGAACCCAATTGCTAATTGGGTGATACTTTGGTATTGATAGCTCCAGGAGTTGTCAGGACAACAGATAAGGATTTATTGCAGTGGACTTCAGCAGCATGAGGTGAGTTACATTCCAGTAGAAGTGGGTCGAAGGCACCAATGTTGGCCCACTAGTAGTTGTTTATAGTTGAGACGATTGTCTTTGTGATAAGTGTCTGGTATGCCACTATCTGTTATGCTTTATGTTCTAGTATGCTATGATATTATGTGAAAGTAGTAGGAGGGGTAGGATAGGCCCCCAGTATCGGTTGAAAGGACTAAAGGTAGATCTAGCAAAAATCGACCCAACCTGAACCCAACCCAAAATTAGCGGGTTGGGTTGAGATTTTCAACCCATTTAACTTAAATGGGTCAACCCGTCTAACCCATTTAATTAAATAGGTTGGGTTGGGTAAAAATTATCAACCCGTCAACCCATTTAACTTTAATATATATATATATATATATATATATATATATATATATATATATATATATATATAATTTAATATTATTTGAATATTATCATGTATTAATCAAAGTATTAATTTGTAAATTATAATGTTGCATAATTATTATCTATGTTTAATAAAATTGAATCCTAATTTCTATCCTTTTTTTAGTGCCAATAATACTAGTCACTCTCCAAAATCATTGTGAAACTAAACATTTTTAATGTTATTTGAATAATTTATTTGTATTTATGAATTAGGATTGTGCTTTTGTCATAATTATAAAGTTTTATTTACGTTTTATAATTTCAGTGGTATAATATTTAATTATATAATTTATTTAATTGATTTTAAATCGGTTAACCCAAGTTTAACCCATTTATTTAATAGGTTGGGTCGGAAACTATATAAACAGGTCAACCTGGTGACAACCAATTTATCTAAAGGTTAAGTTGGGTTGGAAATATCAACCCATTTAAATAAACAAGTTGGGTTGGGTTGAAATTTTCAACCCAACGATTAAATGGGTTGAACCCGAACCCAACCCAGGTCGACCCATTGCCACCTCTGACTGAAGGGGTAGGTCAGCACCCTGATATGCTAGGCAGTATGTGACTTATGTGTTTATGTACTAGGAGATTACATGGTAGAAGTAGTGGGTGAAATAGTCCCCGATACCAGTCGAAAGGACCGAAGGGGTAGGCCAACACCCTGATATGCTAGGCAAGTTACCGGTTGAAAGAGACCGAAGGGGTAACCTAACACCCTGATATGCTAGGCAAGTTGCCAGTTGAAAGAGACCAAAGGGGTAGGCCAGCACCTTGATATGTTAGCCAAGTTACCGGTTGAAAGAGACCGAAGGGGTAGGCCAGTACCCGGACATGTTAGGCAGTATGTTTATTGTATGATATGTGATATGATGGGGGAACTCACTAAGCTTCGTGCTTACGGTTTACAGTTTTGGTTTCAGGTACTTCTTTTTCAAAAGGAACTGAGCCGGCAGGATCGCATCACATCACACTATGATTTCCGCATTATGAGATCTATGAGAGTTGTACTCTGATAATACTTTTCATTGAGATGTTTTAGTTATTTGAAATACTGGTTTTTGGATTATGAAATGAGTTAACACTATGGATGTTTCAGACTACTGGTTTTATACTTAATTAAAAATGAAATTTTTGGCTATGAATTTTCGGATGTTACAGATAAATTTATAATACAAGAAACCAAAAAGGGTATGTTAAAAAAGTTGGCATAAGAGCTATACCTCTAGGTTACACTGACGAATAGTGATCACTTCATCAGATTCATTTAGTAATACATCTTTTAGACTCAAAGATACTACTTGTGATGGACTTTTTGTGTTAGTGGATGAATGTAATGAAACACCTAATTTTGTAAGATATACGAATCCTGGTTTTTCTTCCATTTCTAGATTTATCTCTGTAAATCCTGAGACAGCTTCCAAGTCTACCAGAGCTTCATTTGTTTTGTCATCCACACTAGTACAAAAATGACTTACGGACACACCATAAAAGTGTGATCATATGCGTATAGTGACATTTTATTTTTTCACTAAAAGTGTGACGGAAGGTGACGTCATCGTATGAGTCTTATGGTCACTTTAAAATGTAGTGTCCGTATGATATGAAAAAAATGTGGCCGTATTATAAAAGTGTGGCTATTGGGTAGGGAATTTTGTTGCTAAAATCAATCATTTCATTTAATATTGTGGCGTTAAACCGTTAGTAGACACATTTATTTAGTAATTGTAGTGACTGTATATCACTAACTTGCGACATGCATGTTGTTTTAGTGTGGTTTTTTACTAATATATTGTCACACAGTTTAAAATTTATTAAGACTATTGAGTATCTTTTGCAAACATGTAATTACGGTGAACATGACCACGTTCGCTAAATGGCCACATGTAATTAATTTCATAAGTGGCAATTTACTAATAATTAGTGACAAAAATAATCAATTATGGTATTTATTTGCCACATCAATTTTTTGTAGGTTGTTATTGTTTAAGTTATCATCACAAAAGCTTTAGAAAAACATGATTTTAAAACAATTGTAGACGCATAATTACTTTAGATTATGGCTATCGTTAACCTTTTAGCCACATGTCAAAAATGCTGTAAAGTCATCATTGTATAATTTTAAATACATTGAAAAATTATAAAACATAGCCAAATGTATATTAAAGCCACAATAATTCAATTTTTATTGTTACTTTTTCTATATTGTAGACACATCAAAAGAATATAAATGAAAGTAACCAAAACCCGACAATATCAAAATTCAAAATTCGATATTATTTATAATTGAAATCCAAATTCATACATTGAATTCGTAATTAAAATACCAAAAAAATAAAAATTGTACTAATTGCAAGTATTAAAATATGGTAAATAAAGCAAAACATCATAAACCAAAAACTAGACATAACTAGGCATTCATCTTAATGGTACTGCTCCTTGTCTTCTTGGGAAGAGTATCAGATGGTAGATAAGTTGGTTTCCACCTCTTTGAGTTTTGAAGTTCATGGTCTTGAGGTGATATCATATTTGATACGTATACCAACAACATTGAAACAAAAATGAATACATTAAAAACTTATTAGAGTAGTTTATGAAGGAAAAAAAGTGTAATGCACAAAGAAGTTATCATAAACAAACCTTTTAATCGGCTTTCACAATGTGTTTTGGCCATAGAACGAAACTTTTATATGCATGCTCAATTGTTTTGAATTCTGCAGTTTCATGGGGTATAAATTAATCTTTTTTTTTTATCAATTCATTAATGGACACTTTATAGAAATCATCTTGTAGAGGAACTCCATGAATGAATTGTCTTTCAGATGATAAGTGAATGGCACCACGAACAATGATGTTCCTTTTGTTTGGAATTACTAACACTTCAAATTTATAACAATTAGAAAGACAAAAAACTTAACAATAGAAGTCTACAGATAATTACATAATAGTTAAAAATGTAACCATATAACATGCTTCTACTTATACTTATCATCATCTTCTATATTTTAAAGCCTCAATTTTTCCATAGTAGAGCAAGATCATGTGTTCCAATAAGTGCTATATATTATAAATATAGTGACCAAAACCAATCAGGTCCTGTAATTACTGAAATGGACAGAAACTAAAAGTTTATCAAGCAAGACCTATTAAACTAAATAAGCTTATCTTAATAGAAAACACAAGCATATGATTACTACAATAATTTCATACCAGATTAATCGAGGGGACTGTTACAAGGAAGGGGCCCACATAGTAAATGATATCTTCATATTTTGGAGAGTTGACTCAACTTCTTCTTCTTTAGCTCTCTGCTCATCAAACTCTTTCCTTAAACTGATAAAAGCAAAGATGAGAATGCATTTTGCAACTAAAAACAGTCAAATAAATAGCCTTTTAAATTAATAAATGACACTATAATGCAAATCCATAAAGTTATGGCTTAATTGGGTTTTAGTACCAACTCAACACCTCTAAAATCAAGCTTTGTGTCAAAATATTTATGGTATCCTCACACTATTAACCTGCATTACAAATAAGAAAGTATGCCATGATTCAATAAAAAGGTATAAATATGCAATAGGAAGATGATGCGATCAACATCTAGGAAAAACCGACTTACATAAAATGATTAAAAAAAACAACAAAAAAAACCCTTTTTAACTAAACAGATTCTCCCCTTGCTCAACTAAGTTGCAATCCTATTAAATATTTAATTGTTTAAAGATTAAGACATTCCCATAAATTCTAACAGATAACAGAATACAATAAAGAGTCAGGAAATTTTTTTAGAAGGCATCCCCTGTTAATGATAGAATCCTAGATACTGGAGTAAGATTTATCATTTGGAATACAATTGTATATGTGATAAAAAAAAATAACAAAACTATATTCTTTTTTCTTATATATGAGGAAGTTGTGAATAGTTACAATCCCTTGGTGGTTTGGTTTATAACTCACCAGAAAAGAAGGCGGCACTGGGGATAAAAGAGGAGGCGGCAATACTGATGATGGTGTAGTGGTGTTGGTGCGATGGTAGCGGTCGAGGATTTTAGAGAGAAAATATGGGTGCGATGGTGGTCCCATTTATGGATGTAGTGACGGAATAATCAACTTCTCTATTAGCATTTTTTTCTAAATTCGCTTGGCTAACTTTGACTCCTCGACCATCTTTCTTCATCATCCATGACGATCAAAATCATGCTCCTTCTAAGATCAAAATTTTAAATTTCCAATAAAAAGAGAGAGTCCAAAGTAAAGAACACGGTAAGAAAATATGAAAACCACTGGAAAGTATTACAATGCTCGTTTATGAAACATTCCATTACATGGCCGCTAGGCATACAAATTGATAGTGATATATAGCAGTATAAAAGTCAAGAACAATACTTACATGAAAAAACCACAATTGCAACATCCAATAATAGATAAAGCATCAAGAATAGAGAAGAAAATTTGATTTCATACAAACTCTAAAAAATCAATCAGCAAGAACACGAATATGTTTTAGGGCCTAAAAAAATCGACCAAAGAAAAGAGAAGAAACTTAGAGGCAATGGGGAGGCGACGAAGGTGGAGCGGCCTGCCGGAGGCTGGCAGGGGGAAGTGGTCGGCGCCTGTGAGAAGAGGGGGATATGAGAGAGGCGACGTAGGCGGAACACTTGTGATACAAAGGATCTCCGGGAGGAGCATCAAAGATCGGCTGGTGAGGAGCATTAAGAAACAAGAGTGCATCGTATCTTTGGAGGGAATGTATCAAAGGATTTGATTTTGATGGGAATACAAAGCGAACGAGTTCGAGTTCGAGTTCGATTTGGGGGTGGAGGGAATTAGGTAAAAAAATTTGAGGAGGAGGGAACTAATTAAATTTCAATATCTTTCACAATAAAATGATGATATTTTTTTTTATTTTTTTAATTTTACAATTTAGTTTATACACAAATATTTTTAGTTAATTTTATAATTTAACCTTAAAGTTTAATTTTCATAAATATGAAATACAATTTTATATTATTTACATATTCTAATTAAATAAAACTATTTACTATTAGTTTAATTTGTCGTTTAACAAAATAAAATTAATATTTTAAAGCAAATATCCATTAGTTTTAATTTAAATTTAATATGTTTTTTCTGATAAAAAAAGATATAATTGTTAAGCCCTGTGTGTATTATTTATCGCCCCTACACCGTTCATCTACATAATTGTATTTGCATCATGGCATGTTCCAATCACTTATAATTGTAGAAAATTTTATAAGCAACTTTGTTGTATATATTAGGAAAATATGTATAAAAGCTTTATAAGCAACTTTGTTGTATATATTAGGAAAATATGTATAAAAGCTTTATAAGCAACTTTGTTGTATATATTAGGAAAATATGTATAATATAACGACCCAAAAATCAAGAGTAAAAAAAATTTCATTTTTATTAAAGTCAAAACACGTATATCTTCTAAATCAAAGTATTCCAAAAACATTGCTAATTAAAAACATTTATCAGAGTTCGTCCCAAAATCACATATTGTAGAAAACACGGGTGTGTGCGCTACGATCAAGCCGAGCCCTTTTTTCCAAACCGATGATACCTGAAACCATAAACAAAAATTATAAGCACAAAGCTTAGTGAGTTCCCCAGAGCATACCCCACATAATCCACATAATCACATAAATCATATCAATCACATAAGCAATGCATGTAAACATATAAGGATCCCCTGGAAACCCTCCAGGGTCTTACTCTGGGTGCCATGGGAACCCCCACATGGTCTTTAACTAAGGATGTCGTGGAAACCCTCCAGGGTCTTATACCCTAGTGCCTCGGGAACCCCCCGAGGTCTTTACTTGGGATGCCGTGGAAACCCTCCAAGGTCTTACACCCAAGTGCCTCGGGAACCCCCCGAGGTTTTCCATGCAAGTATCACAAAGACAACTAGCATACCACATCACACATAATGGGTCGGTCTTGGTGCCTTCGACCCATTGGTATGATGAGGAGACTCGCCTCAAATGCAGAAGCTCCCCAAATGAAATCCTTAGTTGCTGCCCTGTCCACTTCCCGAACCTACCAATATCAAATGACACCCAATTAGCAATTGGGTTATAATCCATAAATATAACATCATACATGGGGTAAAAAGACCATTTTACCCCTAACCTATCCTTGTCCAAAACTATGGCCCAAACTATAATCTGTAAGGCCCATGGCCTCACCGCACTCAGACTATCACAATGTCGCACCTCTCGAGCCGAATCCTATATCCCATATGGAGTTCGGAGCACACCTACGAATTTGCAACAAAACGAAACTATTGGACCATCCTTGCAATCCAAACCCATTTCCGACCAAACTTGCTAGCTTTGACATACCACAGATACCAAATTTGCAATTTTGTCATATAGGAAATGGTATGTATGTAGTCATGAGCCAAAAGTCTTAAGCCCTTAGTCCTATACATCAAGTTCTAACTCATAAGAAAAAATTTATACACCAAAATTCATATGACTTAAACCCTAAACCTTGGTACATAAGCCATAAGCCATGACATATGAGCCATAAGCCATAAACCATAAGCAATATGCCCTAAACCCTAACTTATAAGCACTAAACCATAAGCCATGGCATATGAGCCATAAGCCATAAGTCATAAGCCATAAGCCATGACATATGAGCCATAGGCCTTAATCACATAAGCCCCAAGCCTTAAGCCCTAAGTCATAAGCCTTAAGCATTAAGTTGTAAGCCATAAAACATAAGCCTTAAGCATTAAACCATGAGTTGTAAGCCATAAGTCTTTAAACACCATAAGCATAAGCACTTATCCTTAAGCCTTAAGCCCGAAGCCCTAAGTCATAAGTCATAAGTTATAAGCCATAAGCCATAAGCCCTAAACCTTATCTCCTAAGCCATAAGCCTTATGCCCTAAGCCATACATCAGAAGCTACAAACCATATCCCCTAATCCATAAACAATAATCCATAATCCATACTTCATAAGCCATAAAACCTTAACCATAATCCATAATCCACAATAAATAAGACTTAACCCATAAGACCTAAGCCACAAGCACTAAGCAACAAACCATAAGATGTAAGTTGTAAGCCCTAAGCCTTGAGTCACAAACCATAATCCCTAAGCCCTTAGCCCTAACACATAAACTATAAGCCTTAAGCCCTAAGCCATACCACCTTTAACCATAAGATATAAGCCACAGTCAATAAGCAACAAACCATAAGATGTAAGTTGTAAGCCCTAAGCGTTCAGTTACAAACCATAATCCCTAAGCCCTAAACCATAATCCCTAAGCCCTTATCCCTAACACATAAAATATAAGCCTTAAGCCCTAATCCATACCACCTTTAACCATATGCTATAAGCCATGAGCGATATTCCATACATCATAAGATTTAAGTTGTAAGCACTAAGCCTTTAGCCATAAGCCATAATCTATAATCCATAAACCCTAAACCTTAGGCCATAAGCATAATCCCTACACCTTACACCTTAAGCAAGGTGCCATAAGAAATATCTAGTAATCCATAAACCATAAACCATAAGCCAAAATCCCTAAGTCCTACAACATAATCCCTAAGTCGTACACCTTAAGCCTTAAACCATAAGTATTAATCTATAAGCAATATGTATAAGCATTAACCAAACCCTAAACCATTAACCAAAAGCTACAAGTTTGGTCCAAAATGGGTTTGGCTTGAAAGGATGGTCTAATAGTTTTGTTTTGTTGCGAGTTTAGTCCAATGGCTTGTACACTTATTCCCACAAGCTCATAACTCCTCATGTATGAATTGGGGTTTTAGAGTTATATATGTCTTAAGGTTTATGACTTAGGGCTTCGCTTTAATTTATTTAATATTTCCATTTTTTTTGCATCCAAAATGAATAGTCACAAAACACATCCTTTGTATCATAATATTGCATTGGTCTCAAAGAAACTCACACACACATACATGTACACACACAAACACACACACACACAGATATATATATATATATATATATATATATATATATATATATATATATATATTAAACCATTTTAAATTTCTCCTCAAAATTTTAGTTTGAGTTTCACGGTATAATTTCACTCTTCCCACAAAAAATTAAAAGCCCTAATTATATTTCCCACCTAAAAATTGGCTCTAACATTCCAATCAGTTCGTTGGCCTCTCCATACAGATCACTCGTCGCCGACATCTCCACCATACGATCTCCTGATTGCTAGCACCTCTCTGTGACTCATCTGCCACCACTTCTCGCCTTATTGCAACCTGTATGTCTCTAAATATCGAAGCCATATACTACCTCCCATGCCCATGTTCCCCTTTGTGGATACTGATGGCCGACTCCACCTTCCTCACCAACGATTGATGTTTCTCGTACTCACCCTACATGACGCCCATCGCCCTCACCTTCACCAGATGGACCGTTACCCCACCTCCTACCTTTTTCACATACCTCTCCTTCAAGAACCATAACTGTTCAAAACAGGATTGAAGCAATATATTGCAATCGATATGTATATATTCGATTATTATAGACACTGTATTCACGGAATCATAACCAGTGTCTCACCGCATCCTCGGTTCCTGTCTCTTTACGCAGCCATTGGCAAATCGCTTTTCTCTTCCTGCTTCTGTATCACTACACCACCATAGCCCCACATCACAGTGACACCTGCCCCCAATTACAGTGGTGTAGCCACCATAGTAGCGGCACCAGGTACCACCTCCACCATTGCATTAGCTACAAGTTATTCTTTCTTTCCTTTCAAACTTTTAGTTGTGTTTTCTTGCTATTAGTCAATAGTTCAGTTTGTATTTAGAGAATATCCATAATTGGGATGCTGAAAGTTGTGTTTTCTTTCTTTCCTTTCAGACTTACCATTTGTCGCCTCTCCATTTCAGGTATGCTTCTTGTTCTTAAGGTCACTCTCTGTTTTTGTCTTGTTTGTATCTATGTGACCTCATCTTTATTTTTGAGTCTCATTGTTGCGATTTGAAGGGGCTACAACGTAGATAGGAACCTATGACAAGTTATGCTTGGTATAATGGGATAGAATTGATATTTAGATTATTATAAAAAACAATAGTTGCAAATTATTATTAGAATCTGGAATGATGTGTTTGATTGTAGAATTTCTTTAC